TTAGTTTTCAGATCCACCATTGTGGTAGTACTTGTGTTCAAGTCACCCTTACATCACTTATTGGCTCCAAAGCACAAAAATATAATGCTGGCAATCCTGATATGAAAGAGAAGCCCCCAGGTGCTTCCTTTAAGTGCAATGGTGAAAGTTCCCCGCTTAGTAAGAAAAGAAAAAAAAAAAAGCATGCTGATGTTGTTAAGATCTCTGTTAAGAATCAAGCTTCTCTCTCTGAAACTATGAAGAAGGAAACAGAAATTTGTGCTAGTTTTGCTGTTGCATCTCAAAATGCAAAAGTTAGGGCCACCATGTATGGTATGTGGTTTAAAATGGCATTAAATTTGTGAATGCATAAGTGGGAAAAATGTCATATATAAAGGGTTTGATATCATCTTCAGGCATCCACTGGAGGTCTTAGAATGTAATCTTCCCAGATAAGGCAGGACCATTGGACTGTATGCCCTGTTTTCTGACTAGACATGTCCAACCTCCATTCTTGATCTTGTTGTTTTGACTCTTCTTTATGGGCAAACTTCTTCATCCTCTTATTTTTTGGTTTTCTTTTTTTTCTTTCTTCCTTTTTTGGGGGGGAGGAGGGTACTGGAAATTGAACCCAGGGACACTTAACAACTGAGGCACATCCCTACACCTTTTTTAGTGTTTTGAGACAGAGTCTCACTAAATCCTCAGGGCCTTGCTAAATTGTTGAGGTTGGTTTCAAACTTGAAATCCTCCCTCGCCCTCCCTAGTTGCTGGGATTATAGATGTGACCACCATGATCAGCTACAGGCAAACTTCTTGAAAGTATTTCCATGTGTGTTTACTGAAATTCTTTGCAGCCAATTTTCCCTAAAACCTAACTCTACTTTGGCTTCTGCTTCCATCATGCTTTTGAAAAATCCCAGAGACACTTTTAAATCATTATTTTAAATTAAATTTTCAGAGATATTCAACACAGTTGAATGATTCCTCCTTCAAACATTTTAGAAATCTATCACTACTTTTCTGACTTCTCTTCATAAGTCTTCCTAAAGAAACCCTCCACTTCCCTTCCCTTCAACACTTACATTTTAGAATAACTGAGATCTCCGTGTTGGAATTTGTACTTTGCTCATTCGATATCTTTACTCTAAGCAACCTCATCTATTTTTTACTGTCAAATTCCATTTCTGTGTCCATAAATCCATGTCACTGTATGACCAGGACTGCCTATAGAAAGAATCTAAAGTAATATAAATGGAAAATGTGTGGGCTTTAAGTTACAGGCTCAGATAATGCAGGATTGCAATGCTGCTGGCACAGAAGAATTTCAAGTCCTAAAAATTGCTCTTTAGGAGTATATAATATGGTTGCTGAGGTGCAGAATCATCATCTTATGTAGTAGCATACGTTCTTTCTGATTGGACTTTTTGGAAGAAGAAAATATCGTGCTTCTCACATTGTGTGGGGGTGTTGAGTATCACTGTCTTGAGTGATTTCTAGTGGGTAATAGGAGGGAAACTTGCTATGATGTATAATTTGGTAGATATTTTGATTAATTAATCAAAAATTTATGATCTTTATCTTTTCAGTCTTTGAGTTCAACCTGATTTCTTTGATCTAGATCTAAGACATTCTTAGCATGTTGGCTAGATGGTAAAAATGATCTAATACTTACGTGAGAGGAGAGGAAACAAAGACAAAAAGGCGCTGTCCTCATGTCAGAGTGAACTAGTACTGAGCTTGGCCCATGTGGTAAAAGGCCCAAAGACTTAGTGAGCATGTTCTATCAATGAGGAAAACCAGGAATTTATCCTGATGTATATGAAAAGAGGTAGATAAGAAACTAACTCTTCTTGGCTACCTAGAGTAGTTGGAGAGAACATGTTTAGTGAAGAGGAAGGACACTGATAAAGTGAAAGCAGAAATCCATATCTTTCCAGAGCACATCAATAAATCAAGGGGAAGTTCATGGAATTGTTGATCACCCAGGCAATGGGGTCCTGGGCCCTCAGTGCAGTGCCCACCATGCATTTTTAAGAAGGATCTAGTTAGCTAAACATGAAATTTCTGGGGAAAGCCCTAGAAGGGCAGGGGTATAGAAAATGATCCAATATGACAAAGTTTCAGGTTTAATTCCCTGAGACTTCTAATGTCCAGTGGGTGCTCAAGTTCACTGCTGTCTGGAACTTAATAGAGTATGCCCCATGCTATCTCTGCCCACAACCAGCAGCATTAGTCGAATTCTTCCATCAGGAGTTTGATGAGAGGCATCTGAGAAGAAACTATAAAGACCTGCTGTCTTCTAGTACAAGTGTCTCCCAAAACAGGGATATTATTAAAACATCAGTTGTCTTCAGTTTTTGTGAATTGAGGTGGGGTTTATTGAGTTTGGTGGGAAGAAGTTTAGTTCAAGTGTTAATCAAAGGAGCCATTGAACATGTAGACCTAAGCGAGGAGGGTTAACTTCCAATGATCATGGCAAATTCCCTTTATTCATCTTTAGGTATCAGAGGAAGAAGTCATGCCAGGAATAAAGTTTGGGTCTACAGTATGAATAATATGTGGTAAGTGTACTCCTGCAAAGGGCTGCAATATGGCTGGTAATGTCTAGGGATTAGTGGGCCAGAAATATTTTGTTAAATGCAAGGTTGTTTCAGAATCCCAAACCTGCGAATTATTTAGGAGTATAAACAATTTGAAAACTTGCAAAAGAGTCTCAGAGGTTTCTCATACCAGGGCCCAGATTCCAAGTAACTTTTCCACTTGGATATAAGGGCTTGTTTTGGGGTGATCAAAGGGACACATTTATTGTTTCATGTATAATTTCACCTTGAAAATATTATCTTGATAATCGATGGGAGCATAAATGGGTGAAACCAGATCATTAGTGCATGTTGAGCTATTAAATTTCTTAGCTTGCAATAATGAGGGAAACTTATAACAAAAATATTTTTTAAAGAGAAATAGTCATGTAAAACCCCACTCCAACCCCAATGAGATAGATCATCTGAGGAAATTAGCCCTCAGCTATTATCTCTTTTGTGCTTTCAATGGCAGAGACATAAACATGAATATTTATTCCCTGCCTTATTCCTTTTATAAAAATCCTACTATGCACAGGTTAGCGAACTCAGACAAATATTTTCAAGCTCATTTGGAAACTGTCCTCTTTTGATATTTCATTGTAGGGTCTCAAGTATTTTGGGCTATTTCAACATATTTCCTCTTCTCAAATGTGGAGACCGAAATTAGACATAGTTTCCTGTGTTTAATTCTGTTCTTTAAATCTTATGGTCCTTGAGGGCAAGGACAATGACACTGTTACATAGCAAGTTAAGAACTATGGTCCATGCAAATGCCAGTAGAATCAATCCTAGAGTTTGAGTCTCTGAAAAGTACCAAGGTCAATGACATCAAAGATGAGATCACAAAACAGGGGGTTTGGGGAAAAGATTTTTAAACATAATCATTTTCAGAAAGTATTTACCTCAAAAACACATCTCTTCCAACAAACTGTCTCTAGAATCACCTTCTCTGAGTTGATTCCGGAAACAACCATGTGAATCTACTATGTGGTCATAGGGGAAGAGTCTCCTATAGTTTATACTACACAGACTACACTGCTCCTGAAATATCCACCTTGAACTTATTGGATTGAAATTGGATGTGACTCCCATCTCCAACCTCACTCTTAGAGGTCCATCAGCTAGGTTTACACAAAGAGCAATGGTTAACTATTGATAAATTAATCTGTTTAAGGTTTCCAAAATGTGCCTCTGTGTGTGTGTGTGTGTGTGTGAGTGTGTGAGTGAAAGAGTTATGTATCTTTGAAATTGCACAGACACACAAATCTCCATTTATCTCCCAACTTCAGTTGCTAATGTGGTGAAGAATCTGGGGTTGCCACATGCACAGGTCCGTGAATTGTAGATGGCTGACTCACCTCTCCTATCTCCCTTCCTACCCCTCCTTATTTTGCAATGAAAGTGACAATCTGCAGCACATATGAGTTTCCTGAATGTCAGGTGCAGGTCACCAGGAGAAAATAAGGCAAAGAAACACTTGCCACTTGTCAATGCTCATTCATATGCAACCACAGGATACATTCTGTCTTGAGAGGAAATAGTGTGGGCAGACATACACATTGACATGGGAACGCAGTGTTCACATCAAAACTAGTAAGTCAAAGTAGGAGTGCTAATGTATTTGAACAAATGTGTCAATGTTACTCTGTAAGAAAGAGTGACGCAAATACTCCCACAAGAAATTCATTTGCCCAATTTATTTTAGTATATTGTTGAAGAGTTGTTATGTTGTAACATAACAGAGATATAAAAATAGAATACATTTATGTAATCCTGAAAATGTATTGAATCTGGAGGCTCAATGTCCCAGGTTTGAGACACAGAATGAGCCTGACATAGAATTAGCTTGAAGTACAACCTACCTATGAGACTAGAAATCTGATCTGTCTTCTCCCATTCTGTCTCCAGTGTTTATTGGTGCCACATAAAACATATTAGATATGTTAGCAACTTTTAATGAATTCATGAATTCTACTATTCACCTAAGCCATAGTCTTCATGCACCTGGACACTGATTTTGACTTTGTTCACTGACTGGCACTGGACATCTGCCCTACATCCTCTCAATAGGCCTTACCAACTCCCTCCCTCCCTCCCAGGTGGTTGAGCTCTGTCTATCATGTACTGTTTCCTAATATACAGATTACTTATGATTGGGATGCTCCACTTTGAATGCTATTCATAGCCTACATCTGTGTCTCTTGTGTCTCAGCAACAAAACTTAAATTCAGTCAATGTGGAACATACTGTGTCAGTTATTAGGATCATGAAGTACTGGATATTCACCAGTATTCATATTATTGGCCAAGGACATAGTGGGGGAAATTCTTAATTCTATTCATCTTTTCCATAAGAATCTGCTATTGATGCCTCAGCTTATCTTTGTGCTGGGCCTCTCAGATAGAAATAACAAAAGATAAAACAAGGACAACAGGGGAATCAGAAAGAAATGTATTTTAGGTTTCTATAAGGAATATGTTTCTAATAGGCTTATTGAAATTATTGAAAATTCTCAAATATAGATTGCTTGACTATTAGGAAACAGTAAAATTAAGTCTCTTATTCACAAAAAGATTCATATTCTCTATGGAAAAGGGCAACTTTCCTTCAATCCCCGTTTAAAAAGACTTAATAGGTTTTCCCTCAAATTTTAAAAGATTTAGTTATATTATGAAGGTCTTACAAACTCAAGGCAATACAAGTCAATGATTTCACTTTGAACTTTAAAAAAGTTAATATATGTGACAGAGGTTCAAAAAAGCTACATCATAGAAAAAGTACAGATGATTTTAAGATCAATCATGTCCAGTTATGAATCTCAGATCTAAGTCTAATAAGCATAGTTACTTCTGGCAAATTTATGTACTAGAATAAATTCATCTATAAATAAGTATAAAAGGTTACTTTGCTATGTATATTCACATAATATCTAGTATGTATACACATATGCTGTGTGTATAGTTTATATAATTTATTAGTAACATACATGTGATACATACAGACTTAGGTATTTTTTTATATATTAAAAGATGCAGTTTGTTTCTTTAAAAAAACTTATAGCACATGTAGCTTGTAGTAATGTCTAAGTTTTACTGCATACATATAACATGTTTAGCTGTTTCTCTATTGAATTCTTTGTTACATCACCTCCTCAATTACCACAGTACTTTCTGGGGAGGAACAATGTAAATTAGGAAAACAAGTTTTAGAGCACTAATAGTCCCTAATGTGGTTGGTAAGTGCACAGTCAACTCTGGTACTCAGATAGTCATGACACCAGATATAGCTTTTGAATTTCTAAATGATGCTTTCAGACTCTTGTTCCCCTCATGGAATGACACCATCATTTTCTTATCAAGGATAGCACCTGCAAAAATTCAATTTCAATCTGTTGATGATGCTGTGAATGACTTTGTTTAGTTTACCCTTTCTATTCCACAAATATCTTGTTGCTTCTAAATTATGCAATCTACAGAGCTGAAAATCAGTTGGTTAACAAAAATCAGAGCTACTCATATTTAGATAATACAGATTTTAGAATAATAAAACACATTTTTTTTAATGCCAGCAGTTTTTATGGATGAGCTGTACAAAATGCAATCAATGTTTGTTATATCTCTTTCCGCCTGGAGTATTCACCTTTCTACTGTGTTTGAGCAATAACAAGATATAGGATATTTCTTCCAGCCTGGTTGAAGAATGTGCTGCTTTGAAAAGGCAGGATTGTAAATTTTTTTAAAAAAATTCTCTCCTTGAAACTTTATGTAGTCCTTGGGAGATACCCAGATGTAACCCTGAAAAGCCTAATATAAATTCGCTTGTTGAGAACAAAATTGTTTTAAAATACTATTTATGGGACATTTCTAGTGAATTATTGTATGAAGAAATGATTATTCAATCAATTTTATTTTGGAAAAATCTTGATTTTTCCCCATATATATAATATGATCTCCTATCTGTAGATATCTGCAAAATTGTACTGAGCTTGTACTAAGTCACCTTCACAACACTATTGTCATATATTGGCAACTATGAATTTAAAAGAAACCAGTGAACACTGAGTCTTTAAGGCAAGATTCTGAATCCCCTGCATCTCTGTTAGTTAACCTTTGTCTTTCACTTGAAAAAATAATAGAGATGGATTATTTGAGCCCCTACTATCACAGGGCACTGTGGATGAACTTCCCATTCAACATTAAATCAACAGGCATAGGCAGGATAACAAAAACCACTGGATTGGCAGTTTCAACCATCAGACTGGAGGCCTGCCTTTTTTTTCCCTCCAAAGAATTTATTTTGTTAAAATTCCTTGCTTCCTGGGGCCTTAGTATTCTCATTGGGAAAATGGTATAAAATGCCTATGCTTCAGAGTTCACAGACTTCATCAGGATCAAATGAGCAATGACATGCAAAGGCATTTTATAAAGCAAAAGTTCTTTGCAAATGTAGGTTTTCATAGTAATTCCAATTTAATGTGTGGTGCCTTCTAAATATCTTCCAGGCAAGGATTCAGGATGAATCTTAACTCTTTGAAGGTTGTCATCTCTCGGAAACATCCATAACAAAGATGAGTCATAGAGACAACTTCTGTTAGTATTATAATATTCATAACAGATATGATAGCATTTGCAGTATGCATAATAAGCATTCTTATTTTGGGGGACTTAGAACAAATCAGAATATGGATCCCCATGGGCGCTGTTTCTAGGCTGGATATGCCGTCTGTTTCCCCCTCTTCTCTTATCCCTTTCTTTCCCTCCACATATTTCTAGGTGTTCCTGTTCCTAACCATCTTGGCTGGCATTTTACCCAAGGATATGGGCATGGGCATTGTTGTCCTGCTTTATAATTTTTTATTAAGCTGCCTATCCTTCAAAATAGCCTATGCCACATTATCAAAAGAGAACAAGTAATGAGTTCCATAACCTGACAAATTTCTATTATTAAGGTGAATTGAATAAGATGTTAATGGGAGACCTTGACTTTCATGTCATCATATCTTAATGACATTTATATGATTAGAACCTTCAGAACTTTGCCCCAGAAGTGAAAAATGGAAAGATCACAATTTTGGCTAGTAGACTTTTTTTTGAATGACTTAAAAATCTAGGTTAAAAATTGATTAGTTGTCAACATTTAAAAATATGAAGATATAAAGTTACAGCTTTCTGACTTATGCCAGGTCTTGTAGCAACACGGATTGCTCCATGGCAACATTAACAGTGGCTGAGGAGCATATGGCTCCTCCAGAAAAGCAATTGTGTTCATGTATCAAGGTCCTCACCTGTTCCACCTTGTTTATGTATGTCATCAGTCTGGCCCCTCTAGGATCTGAGTTTGTGGTCCTTGCTGACCCCACAGAACTAACCTCATTAAATCCCAACTCATACCCAGTGATGGGAAAAATCGTGGACAGATGGTTTAAGGAGAACATATGTTGTTGATCTGTTTTTCTCATTTCATTAACCCCTTTGCCAGCATTTAAAACAGTCTAATCATATGTCACAAACCATAACTGGAGCATCAGTTTATAAGAGGATAATCTAGAGGTTCATTGAACTGTTTATTTTTAAATGTCAAGTGAAATCTGCTTTAAGATTTAGTCTGTAGTTCAAGGCAAATTTTACCAGCTCGACCAATGTGAACTCTACACACATTCCAAATTCCATGCCAGACACAGACCTGTGATGTCCAAGCTGTAGGAAGGGGACCTCTGGTATGGATTTTTCCACAATGTAAGTAGATAGAGAGTGAAAGGTTTCCCCATGAAATGTTACATGTCACATGTTAGAGGGACATGTTAGAGGCAAGGGGAAAGACACCTGGAGACACAGTGATGGTAGCATGTTTTAGTATCTAGAATTTCCTGAAGGCTTCACAACCCCTCTCTCATTCTCCGTACTTAAGGGGAGGAAAGCCTATGTGAATAATCTCATAATGAAAAAAAGTGAAGATGTAGTTAACGGGAGGCAGCAATCAGGAACACGTTGTTTGAAAATAACCCTTCTCTTTCTTTTTTTTTTTCCTTTTCAATTTCCAGAGTTTCCTATTACTTAAATAAAAAAGTTTCTATCTAGGGGCCTGAGATGAAAGTGTAGGTCTCTAGAACAGGTCCAAGGCTCCAGTCTAGTATTCTTCAGTGAAGGATACAGATCAGAAGCACAAAAGGAGTCTCTATGATCCCATGTGATCTGGAACAGGTCACTAAGCTAGAAGTTCCTCATAGAGAGGTTTGAGGTTAAGCATTTCTATGTCCGGGTAAACAAGGGGAACTTTCAAGTTTGACCAGGGCCATAGTGGGTGACTGGTCAAATATTTGGATTGAAAGGCAGGTAATACCTTGGCATTATTCACAGAAGTCTTTCCTGTGTGTCTGGCTTTGAGCAAGGGCAGGTTAGCTTATTCATCACCAACCAACCTAATCATCTCTGACCAACTGGTCAATTACCCACAGTGGATAGAGCTCTAAGGGGAGGTGTCAGAGCAAATTCCAAGTGAACTCTTCATGTGGGCATAGACAAACACCTTCTGCTCAACTAGTGATTCAAACTCTCTCAGGACCCATGTCATCTGGTGAGCTCTTGTGTCAAGGATCTATTACATACAAACATGTTAAGTATGTCACAGAAGAGAGACAAGAATGGATAAAACCAACTGCAGTGGAAAATGCAGGGAAATTTCAATTGTGTAGGATGAGGGAAATTACTTTTTCTTCTTGACAAACTCACAGACAAAGTACATGGTGAGATGACACTCCGTATCATTCCATCTGCCTGAACTCAGCATTTCCACACAGTCCTCATGACCGTAGGGGTCGCTGGGCTCCCCCTCCTTCCAGTTGCTATAGTTCTGCAGTGGGGTGTTGTCCGTGAACACATACTGCCCCTCTCTCTCAAGGTCATTCACCCCAATGAACACCCGGAAGAAGCCACTCTTGGCAACATAGTCAGCAATAAGGGTGTTGATGGCTTCATCCTTGGGCATGGCTAGCATGCCTCCCCGGATCCTGCAGTGGGTGAGGGATTCCCTGTAGTTCTTCTCCTCCTGCACGATGTAGTAGAATTTCTCTTCAGTTTCCCTGATTCCTGCAATGACTATATAGGGAGGAAAAAGAGAGTATCATTATTCATCTCCAAAAGACAAGGGTCAAGTTTGACTGAAATACAGACAGATGTAATTCATTTGTTCAGCACTCGAGAATTATTTTGCAAGGTCCTGTCATGAGAGCATCACTGGTTTTTCTCTAATCATTAAGTGGAGAATGAACATCTGCCATCTGTCCTTCCTTCCTTACCTCCTCAACTTCCCATAGAGCTGTCCAGCAGGGAGTTCCATTGACAAGGATTTGCTATGGGAACTGCCACCCAGATCATTCCATACTATCTTCCCAGCCCCACTTATGTTTTAGCCATATTTGCCCATGATCATGTCCCCCTCTGTCTTCTATTTCCATGTCTGGAAAGTCTTACTGCTCTTCTACCTGACAGACTCCTATTCATCACTTAAGCAGTCTTTCTGATGCCCCTGTACAGACACGGGATTCTAGTGTTCTTCCCTGTATTCCAGTGCTCTCCCACTTTACAGGTCTTTACAGGTCTCAGCATATTCTGCTCTAATTGTTTGCCCAAGTGTTACTTCTACTCCACTGGGAATGTCTTGAGGAGAAGGCCCATGTCTTTGACCCTCTCCAACCTCATTGCATCGACCATTCCAGGGAATGATAAATGCTTAATGACTGGATAGAAGAATAATACAGAACCTTGTCAACTTTGGGCAAAGTTCTGAGACTGTAAACTTGTACATTGAGATTTTCCATGTTATCCAGATACAAGAGGGAGACCAAGTTACTGACTGAATTTCCAATACAATGAGAGACTCAGAATCATCTTTAGCTCATATAATGGAATACTTTGGGCTTTAGGGGCATCTATGCATACATTTGGGGTCCATAACTTTAATTTATAAAGATGTATGTGACCACTATACTATTAGAAACTATTGCTCTGTGTTGTACCTTTGAGGTCTGGTTTATCCATGACAGTCTAAGTCATATCAGATACAGAATCTTCAGTAGGGTTACAACTAGAGCTATAATTAAGGTGATAATTTAATATCAAGTATTTCCTATGCCTCTAGTATTACCAGGTAATTATGAACACAAGATGGCAGCTGTGTGCTTCCTATAATATACAACATATTTTTGTGAATTACAATAGATAAGAGTACAAAAAAAATGAAATCAGTTATAATAGTAACTACTATAGTTCCCTCAATAACACTTTCTCTGAAGAGCATATATGAGCACTTTCTACTTTAAGGACCTCACTGCTAACTGTTATGGGGAAATAGACAAAGGATAACAAAAATGACCAATATGGAAAGTTACAAAACTTAGAGAAACATATGATTTGTACTGAGTTTTACTGTGGAGTAAAAGGACTCAGAATAACCTGTATTCAAATCCTGTTCATTAGGTCTGTATCTGTGGGCAAGATACTTTGTCTGAGCTTTAATCATGGTATCTGTCATAACAATCATAAACATTCAGTGAAATAATGCTAGCACTCACACATTATCTCAACTGCTTAAGGAAATGGGTCTTGTTTTCATCTCTTTTCCTGAGATTCTTGCTGTCCCTTTTTATCCCCAAGGCACAGGTTACCAAGCTCTACTCTTTTCTCCATTGCCTTCTTAGGAAAGTACCTTTTTTTTTTTTTTAACCAAGAGGCAACATACACATGCATGAATCTATGTCCTAGAATCTCAGTAGATATTTAGCATTTCAGTAGGCCTGTAGACTGGTGACACTATCCCAGTAAGTCTTTGTCCAACTTAAGGTATTTTCTGCTGGGAAATGTGTTGAAAGAGACAAAATCCATAGATATATAGTCCAAAGCAAAAGAGAACTTGTTCACCATTCTTGACGAACTTCATAGATGTCTTAAGCCGGGCAACACTAATGTCAAGTTGTCCAACGACTTTCCGGTATCTTCCACAATCACAGACAGTACCTTAAATGACAAAAACTGTGCAATCATGTGGAAGTAAATGCAAACCAATTAGAAAGGGCATTTGTTCCTTTCCTAATATTTACTCTCTTTTTCTAGTCTGATAATAGCTCTCTGTGAAGACTATCCATTTAACTTTTTGTTTAAAACAAGGTTTCCAATTTATATCCTTTTTAGGAATCCAGACAACATCTTTTAAAGTGTTTGAAATGATTTAAAAAATTCTAAAGTAAATTTTTGAAAAGAAGAATAAATCTGACACACCACCAAACAAGCGTGGTGAACCATTTGGAATTTTTGTTGAACACAGAACTTCTCTGTTCAATCTCAGAATACAATTTTTACAGCCTTCTTAAAACACATTTGCAGCCAGGATCTCTTGTTACTGCATTATTCACTCACATAGCTCTCCAAAGAGAGGAGACATTTTTCATGATTTGATCAAATGTTAATTCTGATTATTCATTTAAAGTATAGCTTGCATGTTTCAATGTCTATGTTTAACTCCTGCAAGTAGGTCTAATTTATAATTTTGAAAACCAGCTGTCCAGTTTGTTGGTTAACTATGATTTTAGTTTGCCAGTCTCCTTTCCTCACCTACCTTTTCACTTTTCAGTCACCTAGAGAAGCAATTAGATGGAAAATAAGATAAAACTCAAATTGAGTCCCTTTTTCTGTTTAATAATGTCTGTATCATGTAAACATTTGTTTTCTTTTTTTCCTTGGTCATGTAAAAAGTAAAAACAATTTTATTAACCAAAGGAACAACAACAACAACAAAATCTGTGGCTTAATTATTCCATATTCTCTGTTAGATATAAGGTATGAAAACAGTTCTTTGAATTAGTTAGTCTTCACCATACCCCTGTGAATAAAAGCCACTGAAATTCCCCAGAACAATTTACCTTGTTGAATCTAATTCAACAAATATTTATTTTTTTCTTTCTCTGGAAGTGAAACTGAATACTAGGGGAACTCCCTGGCCACGGAGGGCATTCTGGAACCATGGGCCCTTTCTGGATCAGGCCAGCATTTGGTTGAGATGCTAGTGGAATGTAAGGCATGGTATGTTGATGCAGGCTCTGCTGATTCTCCCATGGGTCCCAGAGATTGAGGGCTGCTTCCTGACTTGCTGGGTTTGCTTTTCACAATAAGCATGACAGGCATGGAATGTGCCCTCATCTCCTTCCCCAGGGCTTGGAAAGTCACTGGTGGATAGAGAGGAAAGTCCCCTTCTTCCCTTTCCTCTAGCCTGAGAAAAGTCAGGTTAAGCAAGCTGAAAGTAATTTTGTTTTTCTTAAAAAACATATGCATTTTTGAGATGAACATATTAGGGATGATGCTAGAAATCACGGAGAAAAATGAGTATACCATACCTGCCTTTCCTTTCTCTCCAGGTATCCCAAGCAAACCCTTTTCTCCTTTGTCACCTGTATAAGACAGCAGCAGAGACACAAAGGCACAATGAAATAAAAAGGTAAATTATGTATTTAGTTTGGACTGTGGATTGAACCAAGGGATGCTTAACCACTGAATTATATCCCTAGCCCTTTTTATTTTTGAGTTTGAGGCAGGGCCTCTTTAAGTTGCTGAGGGCCTTGCTAAGTTGCTGAGGCTGGCTTTGAACCCATGATCCCCCTGCCTGCCTCAGCCTCCCTAGTCCTTGGGCTTATAGACATGTATCATGGCATCTGGCAAAAGGTAAATTATTTCAAGCAGAAAAAAATCCTACACATTTAAAATCAGAAGAAACAGTTTTTCAAATTGCATGGGCAATATCTCCAACTAATAACCCTTGGTTTTAGATAATTTCCTTCTGCATTGGTTGTATAGGCACAGATAATCAAACGAGCCATAATTTCTTTAGATGGAATGTGGTATCCCAGCAGGATGTGTAAGAAACATTTGAATCCGTGGTATCTGTCCTACTAGCATTTTTTAAAAATAATGTGGCCTTCTGAACAAGGCTAATAGAATTCTCAGTGTGTTTTTAATTTTAGAAATACAATTGCTTTGCAAATCTGGATCAGTCGGTTACCACATTGCAGTGTCAGTGTATTTATTAAGCCCCAAGTCATTCTGTGGCTTTGCTCTTGGATTTTGAAAAACATGTGTTGTGCTTTTTCAATTTAATTCAACAAATATTCATTATTTACTCTCTGCAAGACAAAGACCTGGTGAGGATATACAGGGAGGGAAGATTAAACCTCTGACTTGAAGGTTTTACAATTTTCAGGAGAGATGTGATAGATGTAAATATCTATACCATAAATTATGTCAAATATATTTTACTGATAATCCTCTGTATTCTCCTTTGCATGTGACCATATTCTTATTTAATCAGACATTCAAAGAATAATTCTTAAAGAATTAGGAATTTTAAGACAAAGAGAAAAAATGTTGATTTTTTTTAAACTTTAAAATTAGCTCTTGAAACCCACATCAGACACAATAGTTGAAAGGAAAAGCTTTTCATTTACAAGAGATAAATGTTTGGTGGATGTTCTTGAGGATCAAAAGAGAAGACCCTGAGAGAAATAAAACAGATTTTAAAGTTTCAATGGTTATCTGGGATAAGAATAGGAAAAAACATATGAGGGATAAATACAGGCTGAAGATCACCCAGGCTAGGAGGAATACGGGGCTTAACCCCATTGGAGTTTGGTGCAGCCAGGAATTGGGTATATGACCCAAGAGAACAAAGCGAAGGAGGGAAGAGTCAGCAGGGATGTTCTAACTTCATCCTTCACCAGCTACAGGGAAAAAACAAAGCCATTCTAAACCCTGTAGGGTGCCCTTTGTCGCGGGCACTGAGGACGCCCGTTAGCTCTTCTCCATATCACTGTCTGACAAATGCTTTTCCAGAATACAGTTTAAGGTGGAAGGGAAAGTCTCAGAACTTGAAATTTAGACAGTGGTAAAGTCAATGACACTTGAGGATGGAAATGCTGTGAGAGAGATATCACTGGACAAAGATAACACCCTGAGAGGGAGCCAGAGGAGAGAGTGTTTCATCTGGAAGCATGAAGGAGTGTTCAGCCTTTGAACTTGGTTTTGAAAAGTTTCAGCATCAGAAGATAGAAGTGAGGGCTTGGACAGCATATAGCAGGGGGTACAGCTGGGGAATGAGAATGGAAATATGTTGAGCACCTTACCGAGGAAGATTGGTCTGCTTACAGCTTGTCTGTTTCCCATGAATTCCTTATTTCCTTATGTGCAAATTGGAAAAGAACAGATTTTCCAGAATATATTAAAGGAGGCAAGGGAACATGTATTTACTAAAGGCCAATCAGTTGCCAAGAACTGTTCTGTATACTTTACACATGTTATCATATTAAGTCCTGTGAACCAGATACTATGATTATATGTATTCTACAGCTGAAGCAACTGAGGGTCAGAAAGCAAATAACTTGCTCAAGGACATCCAGCAATTAAATAGAAGTGCTGGTACTCAAACACAACCATTTCTGACTCTGCAATTCATGGTGTTTCCCAAATGGTTTGACCAATGACTTAATAAAGTAGAGTATTTGAAAAATGTTCTCAAAGTGAAACAAACCAGAAATAGAAAGACAAATACTACATGATTTCACTCACATGTGGAATTCAAAAAACGTAGCCTCGTAGAAGTAGGAAAAAGAGTAATTGTTATGTCAGTGTAGTGGGGAGAAGTTGGGAGAGGTTGGTCAATGGGTACAAAGTTGCAGCTAGAGAGGAGAAATAAATTTTGGGGTTCTATTGCACAGTAGGGTAACTATAGTTGATAATGATGTATTTCTACTTCAAAATAGCTAGAAGACAAGATTTTGAAATGTTTTATCACATAGAAACAATAAATGTTTAAGATAATGGATATGATAATTAATGTCATTTTATCATTACACAACATATACATGTATCCAAATATTATATTTTACCCCATAAGTTTGTACAATAATTATATATCAATTAAAAATAAAATAAAACAAGGGGCTGGGATTGTGGCTTAGTGGTAGAATGCTCGCCTAGCATGCTCAGGGCCCTGGGTTTGACCCTCAGCACAACATAAAAATAAATGAATGGAATAAAGGTATAAAAAATTTTAAAAAATAAAAAATTAAAAAATAAAATAAAACAAGAAAAATGGAAAGTAATAGCAGTCCTTATCATCACCAATAATTATATGAACTTAAAACATCATGAATATGAGTTTAATATTTTTATTTTTTAAAAATTTGTATTTTATTTGCATGCAAATCCCTTGTAATTCAACATGTATTAAAGATTGTTTCCACTTATGTTATGATTCTAGTTCTGGGTAAGTCCCACAATAGGCATACAAAAAATATAAATACAGAGCAGTAGTTCCCCCCTCTTTTTACTTTCTTTCTTTCTTTTTCTGCAGTTTTGCTTTACACGGTTCCAGTTATCTGTGGTCAACTGCAGTCCAAAAATATTAAGGGGAAATTTTCAGAAATAAATAATTTTTAACTTTCAAATTGCATGCCATTTTGAAGAATGTGATGAAATCTCAAATCATCCTGCTCCATCCTCCCTGAAATGTGAATCATTGCTTTGTCCATAGTATCCACATTATATGATACCTACCCATGAGCCACTTAGTAGCCATCTCTGTTTTCAGATGAACTGTCATGATAGTGTAGTGTTAGTTTTCAAGTAATACTTATGTAGTAGCCTAATGCTATCTCACAATGCCAATGTCTTTCACATCACTTAATCTCATTATATAGGCATCGTATCATCTCACATCCCTGGGAGAAGGGTGAATACTACACAAGATATTTTGAGAGAGTAAAGGGGGCAAAAAAAAAAAAAAAAAAGACCACATTTGCATAACCCTTGCAGTATATTGGTATTTTAAGTTATTGTGATTAATCATTTAGTTTGCCTAATTTATAAATTAAACTTCATGATATAAGAGAAAACCATAGTATATATAGGGTTTGGTACTATCTGCAACTTCAGGCTTCCACTGGAGGTCTTGGAACATTTCCTCTAGGGAAGGGAGGAATACTGTATTTGCTTTGGAAAAATGATGAGATTAAAAAAATGAAACATATGTAAAAGATAAAGGAGAAAAGATGGATGATATCATATATGAACAGTGAAATAAATGAAAATCCTGGTAAAATCTCAATAGGAGAGCAAAAGATGCCTGCCTAGGGTTCATGGTAGAGAAAGGGGGATTGAAGCTAGATTGAAGTCACCTTCAGCTGAATCTTAAAAATGCAGGAAGCAACTTCTTAAATTGGCATGTGGCTTTTCTTCTGAGAAGATGTCAACACTCTAACTGCTTCCTAGTATTTTGATATTAATTCCTTTCCTCCCATAACAAATGGGAACACCATAGTAGTGTGGTGAAGTGAGACCATAGAAACCCCACAATTCAGGGTTTAAATCCTGGCTCTGCTTTCTAATAGCTAAATGTGGGCAAGTTATTTAATTTCTTTCTTTTTTTAAAGATGGAAATGAAAGTATCTAAAATGATAAGATCATCAGGAGAATAAATTAGGTAATGCTATCTCATAATTGGATGAACATTGATCTGACTCACAGAGGATGCTCGACTGATGTTAGCTTCTGCCCTGTACCTGAGTTATGGTAGAGGAATGCAGGACATGATCTTAGCTGGTGCACAGAGCATGTGGGATTAGTGCATCTATTTCTCCAAAATTCATTACAGTTTAAGGTCATCCACAAAACTTGTTTTGACCCATGAGTGAGAACATGTCTGTAATACTGTCTTAAGTTTGAAGACTTAGAGGTCACATTCAGACAAACAAAAAACCATAATGCTTTCAGTGTAAAAGGATTATTGACCTCAAGTAAAAACATTTATTTTGCTATGAGATTGAATTTACCTATACTAAATCATTGTTATTTGTTATTTCTCAAATGAAATATTGACATCCAGAAAGCCACCTTACCCATGCAAGTGACAACATTAAGGTCAGCCTAAAAAGTTAAGATTAATCCAAGTCAATGAAAAACTTAGAAGGGCCATCATCAAAATGAGGGTGATAAATATCAAAGTAGAGATTAAACATGAAATTAATCCAGGTGGCCCAGAACACCACATCTCTATTTCTTTTGAAAATTCGAGGACATGCTCATAAATTTTGATGACATATCTTTGGAGGAGAAGGAAATCTTAGTGGCCAATAGTGGAAATGGATGCTAAGGGAAAACAGAATCTATAGGAAGAAGGAGTAGGATAGAAAGCCGCATTGTGGGATATAAAGTGCTTTATTGTTCTTTTTAAAAATTCTTATTGTATCAAACAATTTGTAAACTTTCTGCTATATAACAGGTTTTAGGATAAAAGTAGGGTTCCCTAAGTAGAGCTTATATTTATTTAGGCAAATGGACCCAGTGAATCTGTCATTCATTTATCCCCAGAACATCAGGGGGAAACACAGGAGCTAATAGCCATGGCATTGAGGACAGTGACAGAGGTATGCATAGTGCTTCATACCTGAGCCTCTAAGGAGAAGCAGGCCATTTCCAGACTCTTAATAACTCAACAATTCTGGGAGTTCATCCACAATGAGATTCCCCAATCACAAAGGGTGGAGACTCTTTGCCTTTTCTTGTCTCTGTTGTCTAACACTTTCCCCAAGTCTCTTGGTCTTGTTCTAGGAGATGATTGAAACTTGGACCAAGATCTTTAACTAGCTCTGCTTGTTAGAGACTTCATAAACCTGACACATCTGCATCTTGAGAAGTGCAGTGTCTAAGAATGACTCACTGAAGCCATTCACTTCGGGACTTGTTCATGTCAGTGGATTGCCACTGTCCTCCACCTCTGCTCTCTTCAGGGAAGTACACAGTGTCTTCAGGTGGGTCTTAACCTCCTCTACCAGGGGTAACCTCTAGAAGTCTTGAAATCCAATATATCCCCCTCTAGCTACACCCTCTTAGGTGTAGATATGCTAATTCCAGGTGATCCATGTACCAGCCAAGAACATGTCCTGTATTCCTCTACCAGAAACACTTTATCCACTGATTCCCTTCTGCTCTAGACCATGGCTCCTAAAGTCCTATTCATTTTGATAACCATCTCATGCCTCCAAATATGTGTGTGATTTATTTTTTTTTGACCTAGCTAATCACAATTAATAGAAAGAGCAACCTAATGCAGGCCCATCTCTCCTGGCCTATAGAAGAAGCCTGAAAAATTTCTTCCACCTTTACAACTTATTATTGACACATTAAAAGTAAGAATATTGTACAAATTGAAAATATCCTCTTGCAAAGTCTTTTTCATTGATACAAAAACTTTGGATTTGGACAAACTTTCCACACACTTTCTCTGGCCCTGTATTTTTCAAACATTATTTATTTTCCACAAACTACACATTTCTTGTGCCAGATTCTCCAGGACATATTGAGATAATGATCTGACCTATTGCCCAGTGCTTTGTAACATGATTTTGGATAGACCTGCATAATAAGTGGTAGTACTATATTTGGAGGCTATTCCTACATTGGACTTACTAGCAATAACTTGATTGTACATCAAAATAACTTCAGACTATGTAAATGTACCTTATGAAGTTCAAACTTAATGTTTTACCCTCTCTAGCTCCTCTTAGTTAATGCCCCAAATACTTGTATCCACTCCTGGACACCTGATACTAGATGACGGAGGGAAATTGGAGCAGGGGAGAACAGCGTTAAGTCACTCTTTCTTGATGGGTAACATCACCTCCAAATATCAGTTCTTGGGGGTGAAAAATTCTAGTTGTTAAAATATATAAAACATAAACATATACAATATGAATAAATGAATATACAGCCCATGAATAATATTAAAATTTCACCAGAAGAGGCAATTAGGAAAAATACATTATAAAAGGCTTGTTGGAGGAGCAATTATTTAAGAAATGTGGAGAAGCACTGTTTTAACCAGTTGAGGCCAAATGTCTCACTAAGACATAGAGTTATGTGAACCATGCAAATGAGAGGTTGGTTAAGGGGTCTTGGGAACCATGCAAATGAGGGACTCTAAAGCCAAAGTTTCACTAGCCACAAACAGTCTGTAGCAGGACCTGCGAACCCTGAGGAGGGTGTGTAGCTCTTCTCCAACTACAAGGATTTCAATCAGAGGTGAATGTGCAGTACAAATCCCTGGATCAAAAATTACCATAGCAGTTTCTTTTCAGTACACTGCTCTGCATCTCTGCCTTCAAATGTGACCTAAGGAAATTCCTCAAGGGAGTTAGTTATAAAAGAGTGGAGAGAGAAGAAGTATGGAGTGAGTTACAGAATAGAAGAGAGGGGCCACGGCCTCAGCCCAGACTCCCAACTATTACCCTATCTACAGGAAGACAAGCAGGCCACAGAAGGGCACTTGTTAAATTATGCAGAGGCTCAAGCACTTATGAAAAGACAGAGGGTACATCAAGGTGGCAGAAATAGTAATACCCTAAGCCACTGAGCTTCCCTAATCTATGACTTTGTACAAGTTTTCTTGCATCTTTCTTAAATGTCTTCTCCCCATTCCCTCAAGACCTAGATCACTTCCTCCTCTTAACAGTCTTGCCTTACTCTCCTATATGGCCCCTGTAGTAATCATGTCATTCAGTATTATGATTTTTGTTGATAAATTTCTATCTTTTTGAATAGTCTCTGAGTCATTTTCTATACATTTTTGATTTTCCTTTAGCTTTGTATCCACAAACCAAGTGGAACAATGCCTGTAAGTTTGAATTATTGAATATTAGAAGCAATTAGAACCTGTTACTATTGTGGGGTTTGGGGAGAAGAGGATAGGGAAGAATTGCTTAGAGATAAAGAGGAGACTATCTCTGTTTTCTAATATTGAGATAGTGACTATGTTCAAGATCAAAATATGTCTGAAATCAAATGGGGATACACACATATACCTCAAGTTTCTATCCTGGTAATAGATCACAGGTATAGAATCATTAGTTTACTTAATTCAAATTATGAAAAAAGTTATTTTCTTCTGTACTGATTTATGTTTTATGAATAATCATCATGTCATTTTAATTGTACCAAGAATTAGTAGCCAATGAGTGGATCTGAAGGAAAGTTTAATACAGACACTAGTAGAACTTTAGGCTTGACTCTGTCCCTGAAGGTTAAATTTTGCTCAAGGACTTTCTTTCTTTGAGCTGCGAGATATATTGCTTGTGTAAGAACCAAGATAGGAAGACAAAATTTATCTTTTAAAAGAGAGAAAAGGGATCATTTTCATCATACAAAATCTTAAAAATATATTAAGGATATGTTCAATTTACTTTAAGTTGCTACTACAGAAAATAAAATGCAACTTACCCTTCTTGCCAATAGGCCCAGACTTGCCAATATTGCCCTGGGCGCCTATATCACCCAGTTCTCCTTTAATTCCTGGAAAACAAATAATGCCATTTTTAATACCATAAAGTTTTTTTCTTCCCTTTAAGAATGTGGCTAACATGATATTTGCCAAAAAGAAATAATAAAAAGTATATTCTTCTTCCTGTGATATCTGATTTGTATCTTGTGCTATATTATCTATTTTAACAATTATACTTTATGTATATGTTATTATGAAAATGAAACATAGGTTACTATGACAATCCTGAACATGATGATATTAAAATACCTGCTGGTACAGTATTTCTAATGACCAAAGCATAGGATGTTTAATTTTAATGTTAGATAAGGGCTCAGTAGAAGGATTCTTGTCCTCCTTTTTGAATCTGTTCCTTTACATCCACTTCGGCTTTACTTTGGGATTCTATTTTCTCTCTCTTTTAAAGCAAGGTTTGCCCATCTTAGCAACTTTAAAACAGAGGAGGAAGGTGCAATCCTAAAATCTGGTGATCAAAGCAACATCAGAGATGGTCTTGCTGAGTTTTTATTCCAAATGTATGATCAGGGATCACAGCACTATTCTAAAGCATGATTGATTTTTTTTAAATACGATAATGTAAAAATATTTACAAGTAATAAAGCTTTATTTTGTAAGTTTTTTTTAATTGACATACATATTTCTAGAAGAAGATGGCCGTTTCTCAAATAAGGCCTCAAGGACTTATGTATCCTTTCTTGCCTTTCAGTTGCTCAAAATTTTCAAATAAGGGCAACTATCTTGTAGCAGTTGGCAAGGATTAATTCAAAAGTTCAGATGCATCACAATCCAGAGGCTGTGTTTTAAGGAAGTTTAAGGGGAAACATTCCCTTATAGTTTTGTGTTATTCTCATCTTCTTTGCTTCTGATCATATCATACTATTCTCTTTGCCCATTGTGTTATTCATTTTTAGAAGCAAAGAGGAGTTAAAGAAATAGAGATCTTGGGGAAAGGAAACATATCCATGGATCAGGCAGCTCTTTCTATTTCTTTGTGTCTTTCCCCTGAAGGTCTAGGCCAACTGCAGAAAGTTGCTTAGCCTCAGCTTCTGAAGAGAGATACAGCCTTGAACACAGCTCTGTTTCTTAAACTCCTCCTTTCTTAGATATTCTTGGAGAGAGCTACTCCTTTGGGGCTCCCAGAGTGTCCACTCTGGCCAACCCTAGGAACGCAGCTGCAGAAATATGTCTTCGTCTTGTTGACAGGCAGGCTCATAGGAGCCCTTGGATGGTGAGTTAATTCATGTCTGACATATATTCCATGTGTCATGGGGGCAGAGAAGATAATGAAACTGCTAAATTTCCAGGATGAAGGCCAGGGCCAGGACCAGGAGAGAGAAACGTAAGCACTTTCACATTGTAGTGTCAATTTCCTATGGGTTTACCTACCTTTTGGCCCCCTGCGCCCCACTTTGCCATCCTTTCCCTCTTCTCCTGGATCTCCTTTTTCACCATCATCTCCTTTAAAAACAGAAAACTAGAGAGAGTGAAGCAGCTCAAATAGACACCAAAGTGCATCATTCTTCCCAGGGGAGGGTGAGCATGGTTAGATTCCGTCCCCCAGTACAGAGCTTGCCTTGCAGCTCAGATGTGATGACGTGTTGAGTTCAGGCAGGCTGGAAACCCAGGTCAAAAGAAGAAACTTCCAGTGTATCTTCTCTTTTATTTTTCTCTGAATCCTACTTTATGTTTAAAGAACCCCCAAATTGTAACCATGAACCAGGAAGCTAAGAACAGGAGATGTGGAATGCGGAACAGCTTCAAAACTGTCGCATGTGAGTGGCAGCTGTCTGAGTTATAGGAGAGTGTGGCTCTAGCACCCTGAACAACCCGGAAGGGCTGAGCGAGTGGTTTCATGGAAGGTACCCTGGACTATGAATTAGGAGTCCTAGATTTTAACATCATGTTCGTTACTCACTAATGTTGTGGTAATTCACTGCTGCCACCAAGAGACCTGATGGCCAACTCCATTCCTTGGGGCCTGAGATGAGGCAGAATGGCAGAAGTGTGTGACCGAGAAAAGCAACTGGGAACATGCACCAGGAAGCAGAAAGAAAGAGCTCTCCTCACCACCACTAAATATAAACCCCAAAGGCAGGCCTGCAATGACCTACCTCCACCAGTCACAATCTACCCACTTTCAGCTCTCACCCAGTTAATCCTATGGGGAGCAATTCACTGATTATAATCACTGATTATATCACTGATTAACTGGTAATATCTGGTTAGGTTAAGGCTCTTATAAACCTATCATTTCATCTGTAAACCTTCATGCATTGTCTCACACATGAGCTTTTTGGGGATACCACATATCTAAATCATAACATATGGACTGAGCAAATCTTTGATAAGTCAATGATTGAGTTTACTGATTTTGGAGTAAGACTGGTCTGGACTTGAATCTAAGCTCCTCCACTTACCCTATCTGGAGGAATGTGAACACATGTTCTTCAAGTCTCACTTTCCTCTCCTGAAAACTGAATTAATAATGCCTATTATAGTGGGCTCTTAAGAAATTCAAGTCAAATAAAATACATAGAAGACCTGGGACACAATCAGTGCTTATGCAATGATGGCCTTTGCCATTCCTTCCTTTGTTGCTGAAATTTCCTCTTCCTTGGGGTGGGCATAGTATCTGCCCTTTCTGCTTCGCCCAGTTTTAAGATCAACAAGGCAAGCAGATGATTGTTGCTTTGAAAATAAAGAGCAAACAAACATTGTGCTAACACCAGATACCTACATTATCACTGCAGTAATCTCAGGAAATGAAGGTCTCTGTCCATCACCAGAAGAAAGATGGAAAAACAAAGTTCTAATGGTATTAATGAAATTCCTGGAGTTGGGATGAAAGTTGGGATGTTCATTGATTTGTCCAGGTAAAGAATATATACTGAGAGAGTTTCTCCATTTCTTTTTCCTGAGAGGAAAATGGGGTGGGAGGAAGAATTCTGGGCAGTAATACTGGTCAAATTAAATTGCTATATTGCATGCATGTATGAAAAAATTAAATAAAATCATGGAAAGTGTATGGGTAAGATGGATTTCTAGTTGTGAGATTTGGGGTACTTCCCAAGGGGATCTATAAATTTCTGAGGAAGGGAAAAGACGCACAGAGGATTTATGTGGTTAGACCAGAGAGGTACAGTTTGGACCAGGTTGCATTTTTCTAGCTAAAGTTAACAGTAAATGTATATCAAGCAATTTTAACATGTGCTAAGTGCTCAGTTAAGGACTTGACATGGAATCATCATAGAAGACTGAAACTACTATTATTGCATTTTATAAGTAGAAAAAAAGATGAGACTCTGTGGGTGACGGTGCGTGCTTATTGTCACAGAGCTAGTTAGTGGTTGAAGGAGGATTCAGCACCATATACTCTTCTGCCCCTCCAGATCCCTGTCACTATGTGGTATTACTTTCAGCCTGGGCTTCTGTGACTCTTAACAGATGGTGAATTTTAGAGAATTTGGCACTTTGTTGAATTCTTTTTTTCAGGGAGAAAAGGTGATATTCAGAAAAAAAAAAACAACAGTTTATATTATCTTTTAAACAAGAAAGATAATGGGGGTAAAAATCAAAGAAAAAGGCTTAACTCACTATCTCAATGACTTAAACCACAGAAAATGTATCCTTCTGGCAGGTTAGTATAATTGAGAACTAACGTTGCCACTCACCAGCTGAGGGACCTTGGGGAGTCCTTAGATTTTCTGGGCCTTGTTTTACTCATTTGTACAATGAGAGAAACTTTCTCCAAAGCAGTTTTTCTTTTTTTTTAAAGAAGTGTCAAATTATAAAGGTTTTAGACTCTAGGAAGACCTCTCTTTGTCACTCTGTAGAAATTTAAAGCTAAATTATTCAATTATTCCTCTAATAGCATTTGTTTAAAACGTTACCTTACACTCAATGTGTCAGTTCATCTCTGTCCATCCCTTACCTCCTTCTGTGACCTTAGATACGGCTGTGATCATAAGTGATTTATTCTAGCACACCCAGAATTTAACACAATGCCTGATTCTGGTTCTTAATGCCTGTAGAGTTGTATGTACTTTGAGGGAACCATAAAATATTTTACAAATGTAGTAATAGAATTATTGAGTACTATGTGCCAAGAGTGTTCTTGGTTCTTGATATGCATTCCATAATTTGATTTCTGCAATCTTTGAGATGGATATTATTTTGAACTCCATTTTATAGTTGAGGAAATGGGGACAAGGGGAGGTGATGTCATTATATAGGGTCATACAGCTTAAAAACAGTAAAGTCAGGATTCAAATCAGACCATTTGTCATCAAAGCCTGTTCTCTGAACAAGCTGTATGATTCAGAGGAAATTCCTATCTTACATTTTCTGGTTCTTATATTGTTCTGTACAATGGGACTAGGAGGTATGTCCTGTTCACCAGAGGTTGAATTGTAAAGTCAACTGTAAAGTCATGGATGTGAATATTAGCATTATTATCACTTTCATTCCCACTTCTCCTTCCTGTGAGTTTTCCCATTCATTTCCAAGGAAGTGTCTAACTGGAGGCAGCTGGTGAGTGACAGTCATCTGCTGCTCCCTGGTGGCTCTGGGAGGGTGAAAATCGCACTGCTGTTTTTGTAACCTATGTGACTGTATCCAGCCTGGTGGCGAGCAGGAGGCTGGCAGAGATGAAGTAAACAACTTGTGTCCTTGCCTTCAGCTCGGGGGCCCGGTTCATTTGATCTTTGGGACTTGCTTTAATGAGAACAGAAAGGAGACATAAAAGTAAGCTTTGGGGAGGACCCCCACTTGGTTCACAGTTGTCCACTTTTATCCTTCTGGCAATAGTTCACTGGATTAGTAGTGCTATTTAGCCTTCATTTAAAAATAGCCACTTACATTTGAAAATTAGATGAAAAGCTATAAACTGAAATAAATGAATTTCAGTTTTATAAAAGTGATTTGTTTGGGTCCCTCTAGGCCATTAGCTTGGTATGATAATCTCTCCAGCTGAATTCCAGCAGAGTACACAGTTGACCACATTTTCTTAGGTACTCTTTTCTTTCCTTTCTCTCAAGCAATCTTTTAAAATTGAATTCTACTTTGAAATTAAATAGCTGAAGCTAGGTCGGTACCCTGTACTCAAAAGAAGTGATTATTAAAAAATTAGGGCATTCATTTTGGAAATGTTAAAGAAAAATTCAAAGGAAGCTATGGCTTTTTCATTGCCAATATCATTTTAGAGATGGAAGAAGTTGTTAGCAATCTTTCTCCTGATCAGCATTAGAATCAAGTAGGATAGTTACCATGGTGTTCTTCATTAATGAGGCAAGTACTCCTGCCTAAAACGTGTGCTTTAACCCCTATATATATCTTCGTTCCACAGGTGCCAACTGCATCCTCATGTTTGGAAATTTCAACAATCGTATTGATTATTCCCCAGACCTCTCTGATACACATCAAATACACTAATAGGGTCATACAATGGATCAGCAGTTTTCCTTCTCTAATCGTTTTGCTGAAATATTTGGGCCTCCCTGAGATTTGCTATTGCTCACCTTTTCCCCATTCACCCAGTTTACCATACCCCAGGGTACCTGCACTTACCCCTGACCTGTCTTGAGTTATTTCCACCCAGTCACTTCCACACAGCTCTCTCCAAGGCAGAGGGACCGTACCATTGCTAAGAGCCTGGAGCAAGTCATTTCAGTTTTCCGAGTCTCAGTTTCTTCTTCCATAAAATGGAGAAAAATCATTCTTACCTTGTAGGATTGTTATGAATTGAAGGAGATAGTGAATAAAAAGTGCTCACACAGCTCATTGGGTAAACCCCTCTATTTTTCTCTAATAAAGGAAGGGAAGCATAAAGTGATTGATCCTTGGTATTCACTACCTCAATCTTTAGCCTATAACCATTACTAACGGTTTTTATTTGCCCATATTTTATTTAGTTTTACTCTTTCCTATTGTGTTTATCAGTATTCTTTTTCATTGTGACCAAAATACCTGACCAGAGCAACTTAGAGGAGGACAAATTTATTTTGGACTCACATTTTCAAAGGTTTCAGTTCACGCTCATCCTCCTCCATTGCGTAATCATAATGGAGGAATGGCGTGGTAGAGGGAAGCTGCCCAGTTGTCGGCAGTTCAAAAACAAAGGAAGGAGATAGAGACAGATATATTCCCCAAGGTCACATCCCCAGTGACCTACCTCCTCCAGCCATACCCCAACTGCCAATCATTTTTACCACCTCCCAGTAAACTTATTCAAATACTTAATCCATTAAGTGGATTCATCCATGGATAAGGTTAGAGCCCTCAGAATTCTGTTTTCTCACCTTTGAGCATGGCTGCATTGCCTAACACATGAGCTTTACAAGGCATAATCCAAACTTAAATCACAACTATGAAAATTTTCACACATTCAAAGATGAAAAAACAAACACATCACTGAGTTTAGTGACCACACTGTCATTGCTTCATCCTTCTTTCTGATTTTT